GTCCCCGCTCCTCTCCAGCAGGACCCCGCTCCTCTATAGCAGGTCCCCGCTCCTCTGTAGCAGGTCCCCGCTCCTCTACAGCAGGTCCCCGCTCCTCTATAGCAGGACCCCACTCCTCTATAGCAGATCTCGGCTCCTGTATAGCAGGTCCCCGCTCCTCTATAGCAAGTCCTTGCTTCTGTATGTTCATTTCTCTGTAGCAGCTCCTCCCTAGCAGGTCCCAAAGTAGATCCGGGCTCATGTATATCATATCCCTGTTTTTGAGTAGCTGGTCCTCCATTCTGTGGAGTAGATCCCGACGTACTATGATAAGTGGGTCCATACCTATACGTATTATATCCCTGCTTCTGGCCTCCCTTCTATAGACTAGGTCCCCACTTCTAGTAGGTCCTTGCTTATGTGTATCACCTTCCTGGTTCCCTATAGCAGGTCCTCCCTTCTATAAAGTAGGTCCCAACTTACTTCCTCGTAGGTGCTAGTTTTTGTGTATCTCCTTCCTTCCTCCCTGTGGCGGGTGTCCACTTCCATATAGACGGTCTTCATTCCTGCATCCATAGAGCAGGTTTTGGCTTCCATGAAATGAAGAATGGATCATCAGCTGACTAGAGGCAGCGGGATCTAGTAGATAGAGAGCTGGACTTGGAGTCAGGAAGATCTGAGTTCAAATCCACTCTCACTTTATTGGATGCATGACCCTGGGCAAGTCACTTAACTTCTGCTTGCCTCAGTATCCTCATCTTTATAGCTATGATAATAGTAACACCTACCTCCTGGGTTGTTGTGAGGATGAGTTAATATTTGTAAACTGCTTTGCAAATCTTAGAGCTATATATGATCCCTCTTCTTGCGGCACAAAGTTCTAGCAACAGAAGAGACGTGGGGAGGTCTCTTACATCTCCCTCCCGCTCCCAGCCGTGCTCGCTCTCTTGCCTTTTCCTCTCTGCCTCTGTGTGCATTCCTTGTGTGACCTCAGGCCAGTCACTTCACCTTGGATTGGATGGCCCAGAGCAGTACTGGGAAGAGAGGAGACAGAGTGGAAAAGGGAAGGGAGATAGCAAGGAAGGAGGGCCCGAGGAAGAGATGAAGAACTGCGCATAGGCAGAGCAGAGAGAGATACAAAGAGGAAGAAAAAGCTGACAGGAGCAAGGAGAAAGAGGAGAGGGAGAGGAGCCGGGAGGGGCAGGGACGATGAGAGACTGCGCCCGGAGAGAGGAGCCGCTAACGTCCCGTGAGCTTAGCTCTCTTCACACTCTGCCCTTCTGTTCCGTTCTGAGTATGCCAATAGTCTTGACTTCGGCTGTTCTGACTGTCCTTTCTGCTTTGGCTGGTGATGAGGACGATTAGAGCAGCTGGCGTTTAATAATAAGAATAGCTAGCATTCATATAGCACTTCAGAACCTGCCAAGAGCTTTACGGATAGCATTTGATCCTCAGTTCAACCTACTATGATGATTATGCCTATTTTACAGATGAGGAAAGTGAGGCAAACAGGCTAAGTGACTGGCCCAGGTCACAGCCAGTATCTGAGGCTGGATTTGAACTCGGGTCTTCCTGACTTTAGTTCCCATGCTCTGTGTACTCTGGTGCCCTGTGCCTGCTTCTGTGTAGCAGTTTGATCCCAGTCTTCTAGCTTCTACATCTTTTGTTCTAAGGCCCCTCCCAGACCTGACATTGCCAGCTCTAAGGGCCTGTGCATCCCTGACGTTCCATATTCTAAAGGCTCCCCAGCCCTGACATTCCCTGTTCTAAGGCCCCT